CTCCAGATATGCTTGCCTACATGTTAAAGATCATGATAACATACAACCCATTTATCGATGCTGGAATAGTTATTCTTTACAGAATATTGACAGTAACCCTGAAGCAAACGTGATAATGGGATTTAACGTTGATTTTGAATGGCCGAGCATACGCATCGAAAGATTGCCATCCAAAGATTTTGTTGTTCGTGGATATCAAGACGGAAACTACAAAGTACTGAAGATGAGTTCTTCTAACGGTAAATTTCAGGAGCTGTTGTCACTGAAAGACCCTAATCGGAATGTACAAATGATTTCCAAAGGCTTAACTTTTTGCTGGACTTCTATTTTTGACCGTGACAACAAAATTTATTGCAGTCAGTTCAATGATCAAAACGACTTAGTTTACTCGCCTGAAGCTAAGCTTGATGAACCAATAATAATTAAGTACGTGCAATCTGATTATGAAGGACAAATTACTTCTTTGTTTACTAAAGCTGAATGCACAGATATTGAAGATTGCTGGAGTTTCACACGGAAGAATTTTTATCGCAACGGTAGAAATTCGACAGAAGACTCGCAAGTTATCAATTGTAGAACACGAAATAGGAATAAAATGGTGTTTTTAGGATATGTAAAAGATACGACTACTGTAAGTCAGGCAGTTATCTGTACTCTGTCTGGGGATTTATTAGGTTCTAATTGAAATCGAGATACAGATAGTCATCCATTCAAATAAAGAAAAGCCTAGACATTTTTTCATCGTTTTATTATTTCTTTTTTCGATAAATCAGTGTATATGTTGCACGAAAAATAATTTAATTAATTAACAGCACTTTGGTAAATGAACAGTAATTATAGATTTGTGGTATTTAGGTTTCATTTTCAAAAATCATAAAAGGATAAAATAAAGGATAAATCTATCATAAAACGATTCACTACTTTACCGAGTTAAAAATATTCGTATAAAATCTGAAGGTGTCTTTTTTCGCTAGGAATCTTAGTTCAATTCCTTAAACTATAAATATTGATTCTTAAATTTTTATTCTATTTTAATAGCTTAAATCATAATAGCTTTGGTAAAATACTTTATATGGTTTAATGAAAAGTCAACAAAATTATTTTCTCTTATTATAGTTGTTATTACTGTTTTTTACTATTTCATTTCCTATTTTTCTGTATGTATGTTAACATCTGAAATATTTATGATTTTGTATATTTAATAATGTCTATATAGGTTTTTATTTCTGTAACTATATGAGTTATAGTTGACAATTTGTTTTATTTGTCGAGATGATTAAAAAATATTTATTTTTTCTTATTATTCTTCATGTGATTTTTTTTATTTTTATTTACTTATTTGTTATCGCTTTCCTCGATGTGGGTATTAACGGCAGTGAAACAGTGGCACCAAAATTGATTTACCTTATTTGCATAACTTGAATGGATAGTCAATTTTAACAGATATATATTTATATTATAAAATGTTTGTAGTTTTTGTTTTTTCCACAAATGTAATTACATTTTAGCATTAGTGAATGTTATTGAGAAGGATTTTGATGTCGATTTATAACTTGAGATTTGTCGTTCATTTTAAAGTTCTGTGCAGTGGAATTATTGCGGATGACGGTTATAAAAAAAACCGGCACGTGAAAGATTTACATTTTACGGGAATAGAAATACATCGAAACCCTCCTAACCGTTTAATTTAGACAAAAACGCCCAATAAATGGGAAAATGAGCTACGGTCATAAAAAAAGTATCGGAGAAGAGACTAGCCTGCTCGTCATAAATTATGACACGCTGATGTAAACACCGGTCCTTTCAGCGGGAATTTGGTGGTTTTCCCTGTACTCTACCGTACGTGCGAGATAAAAAGGAGAAAATGTTTCTTTGCATTTGCGGCTCGGCGTCGAAAATTTAGTTTAGGTACGTAGAATTAAGTTGCGTAACTTATAATAACGTCTTTGTAAGAAAAAACCGTAGCCGTTAATATTTCATTGATGAACAAGGGTGCGAGTCAAGCGGTGAAGGTCGGCCATTGATTTACGGTCTTCGTCTTCAGTGATTGCGTGGGTAATAAGTTAGGAAATCATCGACACCTCTCTTCCGTGGCTTCGCTCGTCTAACGAGCATGGCTGCCAACAGGCAGAACCAGGGCTGTACGCCACAGCTCGAGGTAGCATAAGTGCCGTGCGCTTCCTCGAGGCTGTTTTGACCACCCGTGGGAGGTCAAAAAGATCAAGGTTCGGTGGTAACAAAAGATTGTCCGGTGACCCACGAGCGAAGCGTAGTTTGAGAGAAAGAAACTAACAGATAGCGTGGAGGAAGGGGAACGAACGAAGTCGAGAGAGGACGGAAACGATCTATGGTCGGGGGAGAAGAAGCGGTACGCGTTATGTACCTGTTTTAGGGCCCGCAAGACCCGTTCATGATGACGAAGCACCGAGATCGGCGTGAAAGGGAATGAGCAGGGGAATAGTGCACCAACATCGGGAAGAGCAAGCAGAATGATTTACCTTACAGCTTGACGAGACAATTACAAAATTAGAAAAAGTCTGGCATTACCGCAGTTGTTGCGTTTTCTTGTAATTGTATTACTGTAGTAGTAGTTTAGCTGGCAAGTCATTGAAGCTGCTTCCGGAGCGTTTGTATTGTTGTTGAAATTATCTAGAATTATTTCGGCTATCCTTTCGAATAAAGTTAGTTTATTCTGTATGTGTTGTATGATTATGTTCTGCAAATCTTCTTGTAGTAGTTGAATGATTAGATCTTTGGAGGTTGTATGAATTATTGTTTTTTCGGTAAGAGTAGACTTACTTAAGGTATGTAGAATTAAGATTTCCAGTAAAGGCTGAAGTTTATAATATTTTGGTAGCTTTAGTAAAAATTTTTCTTGAGAGGGTAGAATAGCGGCGGCTATTATTTCTTTGGTGTGTCAGATTGTGTTATATTTTGCTTATCTTTTTTTTTCTTGCCCATTTGATTGGGGCATAATACATACGGCAGAAAATCGTTATATCCGAGTTGGTAGTCGCTAAAACATGCTGTAGCTCGAAAATAAAAGGATTTTCTTTGTCGTGGTTTGTTTTTATCATATGTGTTCAGGTATTTTGAGAAGAGGCAATGTGCTTCGGTATTTGGCGAGTGAAGGACTTTGATTGCATTGTTCACGCATAATTTTTTCCGTCTTATAAGGAATGGCAGGGAGGTGTCCGTCACCGATTTTCTTCAAACTTTGCATATGTGTAGTGTATCAAAAAATATTGAATACGTTATTTTTAGCGGCTCATACAGTAAATTAGAGAGTAAAAACAGAGTATATATACTTACCCTACATTTGAGTGCGTAAGTTGATGAAATCTTAAATTCAATTTATTATATCTCGGTGAAAAAAGAAAGATATCTAAAAGATTAAAAATTTATTTTAAAGGAAAAAGCTCATACTTTAAGATGCATTGATTAGTTTAGAAAATTTTCAAGTCTCCACATATTTGCCAATTATGTTCTTTGTACTTTATTTTTGTCAATACCAATTCAAGATTTGAATACTCTTCTTTCAGCGTAGTTGAATGTACTAACGGTATAGGAACATATACTTGTTTGTATTGTGAAGAAGTACTGCTTCAAGGCTGCACTGTGATGAATCAATGAACAGTCGTCAATCCTCAGGCTTGTACACGTCTGGCTTTAATTCATCGATGAGTCCTTTTATGTTAACATCACCTGGGAATGGTATTTTAATAAATCTGATGTCAAATTTATGATCAGCAACCTCAAAAACTCCCAATATACCATTCGTAATGCTTACTAATTGTTTTGAAGTGATAGAATCAAATTTCAATCGATTTCGAATCAAATTTAACATGAATTTCGGCTTTTTCCGTTTTTTAGTAGTTTCAACTCAATATGAGGGGTTGAAAAATAGTTAAAAATATATTCAAGACATAATTTTCAATGTATTTTTCCCCGTAAAATTCAATTCTGTAGTCAAAATAATTTTATTTTCACTCTTTTTAATTTTTAATTTCAAAAAATCCTCAAAAACCTCAAAAAATTAGGTTTTTTATCACAAACCTCAAAATAATCGAGGAAAGACTATTTTTTTACTGCATATTCGGATTCAACATCGAAAAATACGTAAGAAAAAGTATATCTGGTCAAAAATACAGACATCTTTTTTTTATGTGGGCCTGTGTAATCTAACATGTAGACAATCTCCGTGGAATGGTGGAATGATAAGCGTAGAAGAGTTATTACGACTTCAACATTTTATAAAAACATGGTATAATTTTCAACTGACATAAGAAACAGTTCAATTGTACTACCTGGTGTGAAGTCCAGTGTCATGGTAGGTGTCATAAACGGTACCTCGAGTATGTAATAGTACATTATGCACCTAGGGAGCACAGTGGTCAATCAATGCACTGGATGATATTGCAAACCAAGCAAAGCAAACTTTATAATATTTTCCTTTAATCTTACTAAAATAATAAATTAATTGACACCTTCACAATTGAGACATAAGAGAAATGTTAAATCTAAATAATTAATTTATTTGGTACGCAGAATACAGCAAGTTAGATATTCTTCAACATTGAGTCTGTGAATATTCAAAGCATAAATTTACAGAGTTTTTTCACAGCACAATAGCTGCATATTTCTATTCAATGCATGAAATCAAGGAATACCGGAGACACGTAAGTTCATGTGTTTATTGGCCAGTCTCTTTCTCTGCCAAAAAGTATTAAGACACGTATTCTAAAAAAGTATGTTTTTACTGTTATATCGCTTGATTGAATATGGACAAAACATTTTTAAGTTATTGACATATATGCTGAGAATAATTACATTTATTTATGACATCAATATTCATTTAGTTTGAAACGTAGTTGAGTAAGCGTTTGAGTGGTTCGTGCTATTTCATACCATAAAACAGTTTTCATATATTCTTATCGCAAAGTAATACATTAGAACTTACTGCGTGTTATAACTCTAACACTGAAACCACTGTCGTGAACAATATTGTCTCCTAAATAGTTTTTTCATATTATAAGAACATATTATAAGAACAAATAGTTTTTTCGTATTATAAGAACATTCTGAAGCAGGTTAGTATATTATGTTGTGACACAAAACTAAGTTTTACCCTAACCGGTCGATCAATTTCCATTAATTTCTTATCACTAAATCATATTATTTAATGCTGTACGAAACGTTATTAATTTTTCTTAAAAAAAATTTATTTAGTAAATTATGAATATTCAATCGACATAAATACGAAAGATATCGAAAAAAATTTATTTTCAATTATTAAAGTAAGTTTCGTTATAAAATCGGCGCATTGAAAAGGAGGCAAACGTGTTGATTATAAATCAGAGTAGTGGTGCATAGAACTTAATATCATAGTGAGTACATTTTCATTATTTGTTGAGCTAAATTTTTAATGTCATACTCATTTTATCGATAATTTATTGTTTCCAGTTTTACTTATGCAAAATGTTTGAATACGCATTTTTCATACGCCTTTGGTTAGTAGCTACCCCGGGATTAGCTTTCGAATGGTTGACAGCACCCGAAATGTTCAATAATACCATTGCCAGACTATTTTACGAAGAAAGAGAATATAAATCGCATCACATACTCAGTCTTAAGGTAGAAACTCTGCTGTACACAGCTAATTTCCCAGATAAACGGTGTACCTTCGATTTAGTAAGCCGCCCGACTGCTACTGCAATGAATATCACTTCATTTAGGCAACCCAATAAAAATCTAATTGTGCTTTCTTGGTACGACGAAATGGCGAACGATTATTATCATCAAACCAAAATTACAATACTAAACATGAATAATTGTACTAGAATTGACCTTAATGCCTTGATCGAAAATGCTATTATTGTTCCGTCATATGATAGTTTGGACATTTTTTTCCGTGACTCCAGATATCCTTGTGTATTTATAAAAGATAAGAATGATACGTGCTCTATTTATCAATGTTGGTACAGCTATCCTTTAGAAAACATTAGCAGTACCCCTACAACAAGCTTAACAATGGGATTTCTTGCTGATCTTGATTGGTCAAGCATACGTATCGAGCGATTGCCATCCAAGGATTTTATTGTTCGTGGATTTGACGGTGGACTCTACAGAGTACTGAGGCAGAATCGTTTTAGTGGCAAATTAAAAGAACTGATGTTACTACGAAGTCCTCATCAGAATTTGCAAATGGCTTCCACAGGCTTGACTTTTTGCTGGATCTACAATTCTGGCAGTGACAACAAAATGTATTGTAATCAGTTCAATGATAAAAATGAGTTAGTTTACTCGACTGAAGCATCGTTTGACGAACCTATGATAATTATGTACTTGCAATCTGACTATGAAGGACAGATTAGTTGCGTAGTTGCTAAAGCTAAGTGCACAGATATTAGAGATTGCTGGATACATATACGGAGAAATTTTTATCGCGGAAGTAATAAGTCCTCAGAACATAAGGGTATCATTAATTGTAAATCACGAAATAGGAATCATAAGGTGATTTTCGGATTTCCAAAAAATACTACTGAAATAAACGGAACAATTATCTGTACTCGGTCAGGGGATGTATTAGGTACTGAGTGATATTGTGAAATCATTTACATTCTATATGAAGTTACACACAACTTCGGTCTAACAGTTTAAAATCGCTGTTGCGTATCTAAATCAAATAAAGAAAAACCTAGAATTTTATTATTTTATTATTCCTTTTTTTAAAAAATCAGTGCATGTGAAACGTGAAACACAATTTAATTAACAAATTGCGATTTTAGATTTATTCATTTTTATATTTGGATTTGTGAAAAATTTACGAAATGACGATAAGAAGGTTTTGTTCTGAAAAATTAATGTTCTTCACTATAATTATACCTTTAATTTGATAAGTTGAAAATATTCACGTTGAATGTGAAGATATCTTTTTCTATTAGAAATATTAGTTTCATTTTCTTCAATAGGAAACATTGTTTCCTCGAAGCATTTTTCTTTATCTATAATTTATTTCTTTTTGTGACGATTTGTTAAATTTTTTTTAGTTTTTTTTTTAATTAGTTTATTATATACGAGTACTCTGAAAAACTACCTGTATATTGAAATTTGTTTAAATTTTTTGACTATGCAAGTGTTCTTTCATTAGTATAGATATTCGACCATTGACGTAAATCTTGCCTATTTTTATTGTAACATGTGAATTTTTTAATTTTAACTTTTTGGCTACCTTCAAGATTAGTATCTAAATATATAGTATCCTCGCTTTTTTGTGTATGAAAATATTTAAATTGCTATGTTAGACTTATTCTATATTTTCTTAAATTTTCCTTCAACAAGTTTTTACTCAGAAAAAAATTCCGAGTTTTTGAGTGGCCAAGTCAATCCCCGAATTTAAATCCTATAGAACACTTATGGCAAGAATAAAAATTAAAAATAGGGACTGAAACTTGTACAAATAAAGCTGATTTATGGGAAAAAGTTGAAGAAGAGTGGCAAAATATCTCTCAAGAACGAATTATAAAATTGATTGAATCGATGCCTCACCGATGTGCTGCCGTGATAGCTGCAAAGGGTATTGCTACTAAATATTGATGGACAACATGAATCCTTTTATTTATTTGTAAGTTTTTTGTACATATATTGAGTAATTTCTGTTTGGCCGGATATTTATGAAGTATCAAAAATTATCATTTTTGCTATAAATAATTATTGATTGTTATATTTAATTACCTAACCATGTAATAATGTAGTATAAAAATGTACTTTCTAATGGTATATGAAAGTTATTATTTTATACTATTTCAACCACAGTAAATTATAAAATTATGATTGGTCGGATAATTTGGCTTGCAACTGTAGTATTGGTGTTAGTATAAATTTCGTATTTATTATTCATTCAATGCTTTTTAGTACAACTGCAAAGATTTTTTATACTTGAATTACGAACGTTCCAATAAATAAATAAATGTCTTTTTGGATAAAATTTTGAAACTTTCTTAGGTCTATGGCGTATTGTTTGATTATTTCTAGCGCTTGTTACACTTTTTGAATTTTTTTCAAGGAGACTTAAATTTGGCTTTGTTCAGTAATATGTAACCGTGTTAAAGTAATTTTTAATACTATGTAGTTTGTCGTATAGTTTATCTTTTCTATTAACTTTTTTTGGATGTATTTGACCTCGCTTTTATTATTTTCGTTTACAAATAACATTACAGTTAATATTTTGCTAATATTTTGCACACTGGTATCCAATTTACTTGATTTTTGTTTACGTTTATTTGTAACCTTATGAAATTTATAAAGTGAAATCATTAGTTTTAGGTTAATTCGGTTTAAAATCCATTAGAACGTGATTTTTTATATTTTTAGCGAAGGGGTGTGGAATATCTTACAAGTTTGATGGTGTAGAATTGTTATTATCTAGCCTGACTGATGAATATGTTTTCATATGTAGAATTTTTAGGTTATCTATAGCGACCGTACAATTTTTCACGAGATGACCTTCTAAATTGCAAGAGAAAAATTTAACTGTATATGTGCTCTTATGTTACGTAAGCTTATTTGCCGCCAGCTACCTACGTGTTAATATCGTTATTTCATAATTGTAGCTTCGAATTTGTTAAGCATAGTTTCGAAAACATAATTGAGAAGGCATTTGAGAAAGTAACTTTCTTAAATTTACGTACTAATCATCTCGTTGGAACTTCGTGTTTGCCAATCCTAACAGTTTGAAATTTATCAGTTAAGTAGATCAAATGTCTTTGGTAAAGAGGTATATCAAAATTTTCAAGATTCGAGATGCACATGATACATTTTTGAATTGAACTATTTCGCCTGTGGTACACACATGAATTAGGTGAGTGCGAGGTATCCTACATAGTACTATTCGGAATAAAATAAAATAAAACTATTCAAGTGAAAATAAAAAGGTGAAGTGGAGTTCACATAACTTAATATTTATTAGAACACAACTCTAAAGAAGTTAACGGATTACATGAATCGTGAGTTAAAAAAAGAGAGGATAAGTTGCTGCAGACAACTTCACGAAAAGATAAGAAAAAAATTCTAGCACAAGAAACTAATGGTCTTACTTGCCTAATTGCGAGGTTGAAAGTGTTCTGGGAATTTGCGTTGAGCGAGTTAATAGTTATCCAGCTGACTTTCCCTCTCGTGGCTTAAGGGCCATGGGGCGTCGCAAATGGGCCGATTACACAAATTAATCATATCAGAATGACGTATGGAGATATAAATTACATTGGCAATAACCAAGCAATACTTTATTTTGATAGAGGTATCAAAGGTAAAACAATTTTAAAATAATTGAATTAAATTATACTGATGCTTATAATTTTATTAAAAACATTGATTTATGTAGCGTTGAATCAAATTCAACTGAAAAACTAGGACATCTCATTGTATGTTATATTGGGATTTTCTTATATAATTTAATATTTCTAAAACTCAGTGCTGTAGCAAGCCATTTTCCATTCTCACGAGCAATCAAAGATATCATACATGCATTAAAAAAGTGTTAGAGAAATATTGAAGATGTTGATTAAGTTTTAAATGATGGCAATGTTTATCAATTTATCAATTGATTGATATTGTATTAAAATATAGCTCGTTGTCTTTAAATTTTCCAAGTAAAAATAGACATGAAATTTTATAGAACGAAAATGAATCATTAAATAATTTTTCAGTTCTAGTCTGTCACCCGTAGTGAGTAGACTTGTTTACTATCGCTCAGCGTGTGGTCAATACTAGCCAAATAATTTAATATACCAAGTCTCAGGCGGCTAAGCCCCTGCTAAAATAAAACTACGAGTTTGATACAAATAAATATGGCAACTATACCTGCCAAAGATATGAGGTACGAAAGGAGGCTATCTACGACAGTCTTTTAGATGAAGTTTTTGATGCTTGTAAAAGGTAGAAAATAGGCCGAGACAGCAGGAAGAAGGATGGTACCGACATGCCATCAAAAAATATAAGCACTAGGACACGACACTCCGGCAAGTACCCGCAATAAACAGCGCGGGCACCGACGCGGCCCAAAACTCATCTGACACAATGGGATGGCATGAGTGTCACTTGCGTACCAGCTTTGAGAGTGCGCCTTCTAATCTTTACCTGCCTACCTGATTGCGTTTTTGAGTGAGCAAGAAAAAGATTTCGTTGTTTAAGATAGATGAACAAATGCCAACATGTGAAGGATGTGTGCGAGCGAGCGTGTCAAATGGACAGCAGAAATGTACGTGCGTGCGCATATGTACATTAGTGTGTAGACGTAGGTGTACCGTATCAACATATTTGCGCCAGCGAGAATGGGAGGGAAGGTCGGTCACCACGGCAGTCAGCTACCTTTCTGAAATATTTTGAGTCGATAAGCATAACTGATGCCGGTCGTATGATTGAGCGTCGCTGTGCTCTGCGTGATATGCCGAAAAAAATACAGGAATGGCCCGAAAGGCTCCGCCTTCACCGATAGAGGTGGTTAACGGCGAATAAGATAAAGTAACAGGCTGAGCGAGCGAGTACGCTGGTGACGGAACATCCCGAGCACTCTGATACGTAAGAAAAATATTTGTAGCGATAGCGACTTATAAATTGTTCAAGTATTAAAGATTATTATTACAAGTACAACGTATTCCTTTCCTCGTCGCATCACACGTCCCCGAACAATTCACATTGAAATGCCAAACTTGGTATTGATGATGCTGAAGAAGGTATCCCAGATAGCAATTTTGATATTGTTGGTAAATTCAATTTTGCTAAATGTTGAACGATCTATGTTATCTATCGTTTTAATTCTGAAATTGCTGTTTACTACTTTGAGATTTCGTATCTGATATTGTATTCCAAATTTACATTTTTCATTTTAATGTATATCAAGTTCATCATCTGCTACAACAATCCGTAGACATATTATTTTTAGAAAAATGGTGATCATTACGTGTATTGCTAATTTTTATCGTTATACAAAATCTTAACATTTTTTAATAAATGGTATTTCATTTGCCAACAGATGTACCAAGACTGGACCAATTGGGCCAACCAATGAAACTTCCGCAGGCAAAATGCAGATGTTCAAACTGCGAACGAGATGTCGGAGCCAACCATTTTAGGAGGCGTATGAAAAAATGTCTCGGCTTGGAAATAAATTCTGCTAGGGCAGCATCGCGTCGTAGTACCACCACCGTCAAGTACACAGAATCCGAAACTGTCAGCAGCGACGATGAGGACGACGACTGGGATAAGAGTAAGAAACGCAAACATAAATCCACGAAGAATCCAGCCAAAAATAGGAAGTAAAAAAACGGGCGTTTTAGAATAGTCATGTTTTTACTAGTAATTCACCGTCAGGTTAGTTAACTTGAATTATGCATAGTATAGATTTTTCCTTAGATTGATTCATTCATTTTTACTACTTTCTATTTTTTCTATTAATGGTTTTTACTAATTGCTACTTTTGTTCGCGTAATTAATGCAATAATTGTACATATTTTTTCTTAGATTACTTGATTCTTTTATGAAATAGTAGCGTGGATTTCAATACGTTTTCATAGCTGACTTGTTACTTTTTAAAATTTTGTAAATACACATTGTAAATATTTCAAAATAATTATAAAAATAATTACATTTAAGATAAATAAAAGTGTTAGTTCTTTAAATAAGTACAATACCATTACGTTTAAGATATTTATTTCAAAAGGGAATTTTCATATTTTTCAAATTTTTAGATAGTTTTATAAAATAATTTTTTTTGATTAAATCACATTTTGAATTCAAAAATTCTTCAACTGTTATATTTCTTGGCTCTTTTTATATAACAACTTTTATTAAATTATTAAATTTTATTAACATTAATATTGTTGGCGTTAATAAGATTCGTAAAAAACAATGAATGTAATCGCTTTAATTGTTACGTACATACAGGGAAGAATTCCTGTCCATACCTACTTTCGTACCAAAGTACCAGAAAACCCATCGCCAGTATGCAACTCTACCTTCTAATTTTACCGAAATGAATTAGTTTCATGAAAACCCCTATTTTTTTTATATAAATTTACAAAGAAACAATATTTATGTATAAATTCTTTAAAATTTTCGACCACTTTAAAGTATTGGAAGTTTAGAACCAAAAATTTAGAAAGTTTCACGTTTATCCATAACTTTAAAGTATAAATGAAGGAAAAAGGAAATGAAATATGTAGACACATTAGTGACTCATCTGACTGAAAGGGTTAATATACCACGAACTCAAACATGTTTGATTTTTTTAAGGCAAATTATTACTTTTAATTATGTAGATGAAATTACTTTAAAAATGTTAACATTATATTATTACGGTATGAATGTAATAAAATAACAAAAAGAATTATTACATTGTTCTATATTCCCAATCCAATCATTTTATTAATTTTTCTTTATTTACATGAATTCACAGCATTCGTGTCAATGGTAAATATCTTTCATATATATTTTTAATAGAATATATTATTAATAGAATAATATGAGATTGATACATTTAATATGTCTTAATTATGTATAAATCATCTGAAAATAATTTATTTTATGCGTGCTAGATTAGATTACTTTAAATAATGTTCTAAGATTTTATAATTTTTACAATTTTCAAACAATTTTATAATTTTCAAAATTTTCGGAAATTTTATATTATTTAAAATTTAAAAAAAATTTCTCATTTTCAAAATTATGATATTACGGCGATGGGAATAATGAGATGATAAAAGAATTACTTGATGGTATATGCTCAATCCAATCATTTTATTATTCATTCATTCAATCATTCACAGCATCCGTTGCAGTGGTAAGTAGGTTTCATTATTTTCAAAACACAACAATCTTTTTTCGGAAACAATAAAATGAGATTGATACGATATATATGCTTCTTAATTGTGCATGAAGCATATAATAATAATAAATATTATTCGTGCTAGCTGTTACTATTTTCAATATTTTTGAAAACTGTTAAAACTTTTAAAATAGTAGAACTCTGTATGTGCGCTTTGCTTAAGCTTACTGTATATAGATTTTTATTTTATAATTTGTTTTATCTTTCAAAAGCGTGAAGTTACTAATTATCCTGAAAAAGTTGATTGTAAACATAATTATTAATTTCTATTTATGTTATTTATGCACATAATTTTCATTAAATAGTTAAATAAACTCGCATAATCTAACTCAAGAAATGCAATACAAAATTGTCCGTGACTAAAGACATTCTTACGTTAGCCGATGACCACTTTTCAGAAAGATAACGCTTGAAATTTTACATAGCCATGGCATATGCTAATTTAGTTGGATATTGGTTTATCTTAAAAGCAAAGGAATATTGGTTTTCGTTATACCAAGTTATAGAATTTAAGAAAACAATATGACCGACTTCATCACATGTTATAATTTTGTATTTAAATAAATAAATTGATAAATTTCTGATTTACAATCTTTGGCTATTGTACATTTCTTCAATAATACTTATTTTTCTCATTAACATTAGAATAGACTTTTTTTAATTCCATTTTGTAGGTGGAAAACATTCTCGCATAATAGTGTCATACATATATATTATGTCAGCCATATGTACACCTATTAAACCATGTGTTATAACTAGGTTTTTCAAAATTATTATCGTTAGTATTATCATGGTTAATAATATTATGGTTAGTATATACTAACCATAATAATTTTCAACCACGTGCGTGAAAGCCGTCCTTATTAACCAATTAGATCAGGATCTTTCTAATTTCTAGAGAACATGATCGGAACATTTTAGAAATGTTTGTTATTTTTAATCAAACTTATTTTATTAATTTAATTTTTCAAATTGTACCAGCTACGTATCCTAGCATATTTCTAAATTTGGAATCTAGCACTGTACCAACACCGATCTAGACAATTACTGCAAAATATTCCAGAACCGATTTCTTTGCTATGTACGTACAGAGAAGGATTCATGTTCGCATCCGCTTTCTTACCAAAGTATCAGAAAACCACTTGCCGGTAAGTGTCTACTACGACTGATATTATTTGCGAGACAGTCGGCAGACGAGGGGAGGTGCATACCTGCGGCACCCTGTACACCGCGTCTCGGTTTATATGTTTATGTCTCAAGAGCAATTTGTACGTTGTTGCCGAAGGTATCAGTACTCTATTCAATGAAGGGTAGCGTCTCCCGCTGGAGAACAGACGCCCGAGAACTGAAAGATAATTTACAGCCGAGTTGTCAAATGTCGCTTGTACTAAATTCGGCTACCTAAAGTCATATCCGCCGACTTATTCTGAGATTTACGAAAACAAAAGAAGAAAAGGAAAGAAAATAATTTACGCCGAAAATTTGGCGATGATAGTGTGCATGTTAGTTGAAAATGATATAGAGGATATTCATTAGTTATAATAATAGGGGTATAAATTAAAATTAAACCGAATTCTTGATTGCAAGAATGAAAGAATGACATGCAAAAGTCAAACATAGTAACAATAAATGTTTTCGCATTACAACAAAATCAAAGTAAACTGATTTAATTAGAAATACGTCAATCAACTCAGCCTGCAATCTTAAATATGTAAACATTAATTAATTGTGGTTGTGACTATTCATAAAATGCAACATTTTCGCAATTAGTTGCCCGAGTCAGCTATTCGCAAATACTGTAAATAAAATTAGCTCTAGACATAATAATAGCTCAGAAACAGTGATCTTTTATGAATCAGAAACCCCATAATTGTAAATCGCGAGATCGAGATACAGGCGGCCCGTCTCTCGCCTATCGTATCCTAACTAACTCTAAAGGGAAATCCAGCATCGAAAATGAACCATTGGTAGAAACGGAGCCAAAGCAGAGAGAATAAAACGTGCCATTGGCCGATGGTCGAACGAGCGAGAAAAGGTGACACCCCCAACTTCATTGGGCCTTGAAGTGGGGGTATGCAAGCATGGTATTAAGTCTCGGCTTGACAGAGGAAAACTAACCAGTGTTGGCCCTTATTTTGGCAAGAAAGTTTCTCTGTATTTTTCAACGCGTACATCTCTCTCATTCAAACCAGCAATATGGCATATAGTCAATCCAAAGTTGACGAGATCGAGAAGCGCTTTCAGCAGTTTATGCAGTGTGAAGATGAGGTGGAAAAGGAATTGCAGGCTATCTATGAAAGCCTTCTAGATGAAGTTTTGATGGGATTCGTTTTTGATTCACATAAAAATGCCAAACTAGGTATCGATGATGCCGAAAAAGGTATCTCAGATGGAGATTTTTCTGCTACTAGTAAGTACAATTTTGCTAAATGCTGATCTATCTAGGTTGTCTATCGTCTGGATTTCGAAATTGTTTACTACTTTGGGATTCCGTGTTTGATATTATATTCCGAATTTACATTTTTTATTTCAATTATATCAAGTTTTTCATCTCTTCTAACAGTCCGTAAACATTATTTTTAGAGTAATTGTGATCATTATGTGTATTGCTAATTTTTATCGTTATACAAAAATCTTAACATTTTTCAATAAATGGTATTTCATTTGCCAACAGATGTACCAGGACTGGACTTAATGGGTAACCCAATGAAAGTTCCGCAGGTAAAATGCACATGTCCACACTGCGAACGAGATGTCGGAGCCAACCATTTTGCGAGGCATATGGAAAATTGTTTCGGCCTGGGAAGGAATTCCGCGAGGACAGCATCGCGTCGTAGTACCACCACCGTCAAGTACACAGAATCCGAAACTGTCAGCAGCGACGATGAGGACGACGACTGGGATAAGAGTAAGAAACGCAAACATAAATCCACGAAGAATCCAGCCAAAAAAAGGAAGTAAAAAAACGGGCGTTTTAGAATAGTCATGTTTTTACTAGTAATTCACCATCAAGTTCGTTAACTTGAATTATGCATAGTATAGATTTTACCTTTGATTGATTCATTCATTTTTATTACTTTCTATTTTTTCTATTAATGGTTTTTACTAATTGCTACTTTTGTTCGCGTAATTAATGCAATAATTGTACATATTTTTTCTTAGATTACTTGATTCTTTTATGAAATAGTAGCGTGGATTTCAATACGTTTTCATAGCTGACTTGTTACTTTTTAAAATTTTGTAAATACACATTGTAAATATTTCAAAATAATTATAAAAATAATTACATTTAAGATGAATAAGTATTAGTTCTTTAAATAAGCACAATACCATTACGTTTAAGATATTTATTTCAAAAGGGAATTTTCATATTTTACAAATTTTTAGATAGTTTTATAAAAAAATTTTTTTTGATAAAATCACATTTTGAATTCGAACATTTTTCAATCGTTATATTTCTTGACTGTTTTTGTATAAAAACTTTTATCAACCTAAATTTTGTTGACTTTAATACGACTCGTAATAAACATTATTTACATTAATTCATACCAACCATCTCAGTGGTAAATAGTTTTCATAATATTCAAAACATTACAATTTATTTCTGGAATTTATAAAACATATTGATACGATTGATGCGTCTTAATTGTGTATGAAACATCCAATAATAATTTATATTTTCTGAGTTCAATGAGGTTACTTTTAATAATTTTCTAAAATTTTATAATTTTAATAATTATGTTATTACGTCAATGGGTGTAATGGCTTGATAAAAGAATTACGTTGTGGTATATGCTCAATCCATCATTTTACTTATTTATTATTAACAGTAATTCACAGTATCAGTATCATCGGTAAATAGCTTTCATAATAATAAAAACTTTACAATATATTTTTGGAAATAATAAATTGAGATTGATACGATTTATGCGTCTTAATTGTGTATGAATCATCTGAAAGTAATTTATTTTATGCGTGCTAGATTACAGTACTTTAAATAATGTTCTAAGGTTTCATAATTTTTACAATTTTCAAACAATTTTATAATTTTTAAAATTTTCAAGAAATTTATCATTTTCAGAATTATGTTTTTACGGCGATGGGTATAATGAGATGATAAAAGAATTACTTGATGGTATATGCTCAATCCAATTATTTTATTAATTATTTCATTCATTATTTACATTAATTCACAGTATCCATGTCAGTGGTAAATCACTTTCATAATTTTCAACAATTTACAAAATATTTTTGCAATTAATAAAATAAGATTAATAAGATTTGTGCGTTTTAATTGTGTATGAATCATTCGAAGATAATTTATATTATGCGTGCTAGATTAAATTAGTTTCAATATTTTTCAAATATTTTATAATTTTCCAAATTATGTTATTACTTTTATGAGTGTAATAAGATAATAAAAAACTCATATCTTTGTGGTATATGCCTAGTCCAATCATTTCATTATTTATTCTTTTATTTGCATTAATTCACAGCATTTGTGTCAATAGTAAATAGGTTACATTAATTTCGAAACATTACAATCTTTTTCTGAAATAATAACAGGAGATTGGTACGATCAATATTTCTTAATTGTGAATGAATTATCCGAAAATAATTTATATTATCCGTACTATCTTTTACTACTTTCAATATTTTTCAAACTGTTATAACTTTTAAAATAGTAGAACTCTGTATGTGTGCTTTGCACAAGCTTACGATATATATATACGTTATCGATTTTTATTTTACAATTTGTTTTATCTTTTAGAAACTTGTATCTACGGAAGTAAAATAATAAATTTAAAAGCGTGAAGTTATTAATTATCTTGAAATAGTTCATTGTAAACATAATTTTTTAATTTCTATTTGTTATTTATGCACATAATTTTCATTAAATAGTTGAATAAAATCACATAATCTAACTCAAGAAATGCAATATAAAATTGTCCGTGACTAAAGACATTCTTACGTTAGCCGATGATCACTTTTCAGAAAGATAACGCTTGAAATTTTACATAGCCATGGCATATGCTAATTTAGTTGGCCATTGGTTTGTCCTAAAAGCTAAGGAATATTGATTTTCGTCATACCAAGTTATAGAATTTAAGAAAACAATATGACCGACTTCATCACATGTTATAATTTTGTATTTAAATAAATAAATTGATAAATTTCTGATTTACAATCTTTGGCTATTGTACATTTCTTCAATAATACTTATTTATCTCATTAACATTACAATAGACTTTTTTTAATTCTATTTTGTAGGTGGAAAATATTCGCGCATAATAGTGTCATGCATATATATTATGTAAGCCATATGTACACCTATTAAACCATGTGTTATAACTAGGTTTTTCAAAATTATTATCGTTAGTATTATATTATGGTTAATAATATTATGGTTAGTATATGGTTAATAATATTATAGTTAATATATACTTACCATAATAATTTTCAACCATGTACGTGAAAGACGTCTTTCTATTAACCAAATAGATTCTTTCTAATTTCTAGGATACATGATCGGAACATTCCAGAAATGTTGGTTATTTTTAATAAAACTCATTGTATTAATTTAATTTTTCAAATTGTACCAGCTACGTATTCCAGCACATTTGCAAATTTGAAATCTAGCACCGTACCAACACCGATCTAGGCAATTACTGCAGAATATTCCGGAAGCGATTTCTTTGCTATGTGCGTATAGAGAAGGATTCCTGTTACTATCCACTTTCTTACCAAAGTATCAGAAAACAATTTGCCGGTAAGTATCTACTACGGTCGATGTTATCTGCGAGACAATCGGCAGACGACGGAAGTCGCATACCTGCGACACCCTGTATGGCGCGTCGGCATTAATACGTTTATTCCCCAGAAGCAATTTGTACGGAGATCAGACGCTCGAAAACTGAAAGATAATTTACAACCGATGAGTCTAATGTCACTTTTACTAAACGGAGCTACCTACAATCAAAATTTACAAAATCTTACTCTATATTTGTAATCAACGACTTCACAAACCTCAAGATGGATAATTTTTAGCAAATGTTCATCATCGAATTTCTCCGGAATAAATTAGATTCATGAAAACAATTATTTTTTCTATATATAATTTATAAAAAAATAACATTTATATATAAATTCAAAAAAATTTCCGAGCTTTTTAAAATTTCAGAAGTTTAGTACCAAAAATGTAAAAAGTTTCACATTTATTGCTGACTTCAAGGTATGAATGAAGAAAAAAGGAAATTAAATATATAGGCACTTTAGTGGCTCTTCTGACTGAAAGAGTTAATATACTATGAACTCAAACGTGTTTAATTTTTAAAAGGCAAACTATTACTTTTAATTTATTAGATGCAATTACTTTCAAAATTTTAACAATATTAAATTGTTACGGTAATGAGTGTTATGAGATAATAAAAATAATGATCACATTGTCCTATATGCCCAATACAGCTATTTTTTCAATTATTCCTTGATTTACAGTCATTCACAGCAACCTTGTCGTTGAAAAATAGGTTTTCTATATTTACAAACTTTTTAGAATCTATTTATTTGTATAATAATATGAGATTTATACGATATATAGTTCTTAATGTGTATGAAGCATTCGAAAATAATTTATAATATCCGTGCTCGATTAAATTAATTTTAACAATTTTCAAAAATTTTATAATTTTCAAAACTGTTTTTACGGTGATAAGTTTAATGAGTTGATAAACACAACATTACATTACGGTATATGCCTAATCCAATCATTTTATTAATTGTTTATTTATTTACATTTATTCACGGGATCCATGTAATTGGTAAATAGGTTTCATTGATTTCAAAATTTTACAATATATTTTTTAATATAATATTATGAGATTAGGACTATTCTATTTCTTAATTGTGCATCCGAAAATAATTGCATCCGAAAATAATTTATATCATGCGTGCTAGATTGCACGAATTTTAATATTTTGCAAAAATTTTACATTTTTTAATATTATGTTATTACGGTGATGAGTATCATGAGTTGATAAAAATTACATCGTGGTATATGCCTAATCCAATTATTTTATCAATTGTTTTTTATTTATATTAATTCACAATATCCGTGTCAATGGTAAATAGGTTTCATTATTTTCAAAAATTACAATCTTTTTCTGAAATAATGAAATGAGGTTGTTACGATTTATATATCTTCATTGCGAATGAAGTATTCGAAAATAATTTATATAATGCATGCTAGATAACATTACTTTATATATTTTTCAAATATTTTATATTTTTTAAAATTATGTTATAACTTTTAACATTTTTTCGTTGTGGTATATGCCTAATCCAACCTTTTTACTAATAGTTCCTTGATTATCAGTAATTTACAGCATCCGTGTGAATGGAAAATAGCTTTCATTATTTTCTAACTTTTACAATCTATTTTTTGATAGAATATAAGATAAATACGATGTACTCGTATATTTCATAATTATGTATGAAATATTCAAAAATAATTTATATCATGCGTGATAGATTTGATTACTTTTAATGTTTTGCAAACATTTTATCATTTTTATAATTATGTTAATACTTTTAAAATGTTTTCGTTGAAGTGGTATATGCCCAATCCAACCTTTTTATTAATTGTTCCTTCATTATGATACAATTTTTTAAATTCAACTTGTTAGGTGGAAAACATTCGGGCATAATAGTGTCATATAATTCATTATTATTAGAAATTACACTATTAATAACTATATATAAATATATACACGTTCATTTCCACTAAGAAAGTGGAAATTTCTTCGCTATTGTAGGGTGAAGGTCACAGTAAAGATTCAAAATGAATTATGAATTTTATAAGTAATGTAACTATTTGTTTATGATATTAATAGTTTTATATAATTTTATGTTTATCATGCAGAGCAAATAATCAGTTGAATAAATTTATATCGAAATGGCAATTC